ACTGGACTGCGTATTTGATGCATTTATGATACAAATAAATGAATGAAACCGTAGGAAGATTCAAAGAATTAAATAATGTCAACGTACTGTTTTCAGCTTAATAAAATTATTAGGGAAAAATTATTATTCCTTAACAACAAAATTATTAAGGAAAAGCTTGTTATTTGGCTCCTATTTTCTGTAATCAAGCTAGAAAATTTTGATTTTGCAGCCTGACTATCTTTAGGCTTGTGTTCTAATAAAATCGTGCACAGTGTATGACAGATAACAAATTAATAACTAAAATTCCTGGAATTGATCATTGAAAGTTTCAACTAATAAGGGGAGGTCTTTAGGGTTGACGCTTATTTCTTCATGAGATTTGGTACAGTGATAGAGCTTGTAAAGCTGAATCCAATGATACCCGGTTTTGCGGGTAGGCGACTTATAGTTTTTGAGATAATTATTGTTAAAGTTGCTAAGAAAAGGCCAGGAAGACGCGCTGGATTACGGCGCGAAGGTTCAGGTAGGCCGGAGCGAACCTCTCACCTCTTCCCCGCCCCCCTAATGTTTCTAGTGCCGTGCCGGTATGGTAAGCTCTCGCTCGCGTTACTGGCGCATGCCTACGCGCAACGGTTCGGCTCCGACCGATGATGCCCGAACCGTGCATCGGTCGCAGCCGAACCGTTCCGCGTAGGCATGTCGGTTTAGACGCACTGGATTACGCAGCGAGGCATCGCGCGACAGGAAGTGGGGGGGTGCCTCGCGCGGCAGAAAGTGGGGGGTGTCCCGCACGTCGCGACAAGGCGTGCCATTCTGGCCTTTTATTAACAACTTTAACATTAATTATCTCAAGAACTATAAGCCGCCTGTCCCCCAAACCGGGTATCATTGGATTCAGCTTTACAAGCTCTATCACCGTACCAAATCTCATCAAAAAATGAGCGTCAAACTCGGGCACCACCCCTTGTAAGTCTTAGAACAGTTTCATCGTTGAAGTCTCACTAAAATCAGCGTTGAACTCCGCGTTGTACTGAAAATCGTCCTCGAAGAAGTGCAAGAGGCCAGCTTCCGGCCCGGACACAGCCAGAAATGCCAGATATCCGCTCTCGAAGCACACGAAGTTTCTCAAATCGTGCGACTCGATCGTTAGCGGTTGCTGAAAAATGCTGCCGATCGCGTTGTCCTTGTACTCGTACAGGGTGAGCCCGCTGTGGCCTTGAAGAGCGAGGAAGGCGGTTTCGTAGATCGGGCAGACTCGAATGTCGAACACTTTTGGTTCCAATTTCACCAGACTAACCCTAGAACGATTATGTTAATTGTTTCAGCTGTTTCAAATTGCATCTCGTCGCAAAAATCCTGCGTCGGATTTCTGCCGCGACAAAAACGTGGAAAGATCGGGTTACCAGAAGTCGAAAGAACTCGTGGAGAAGTCAATGCTGAAACCGTAAACGTAGATGGGCGAGTATTGTATCCCGGATTGGATTGTCTCGTGGCCCAGCAACAGCAGTTCGTTCCGATTTTTCCGTCGAATGTGCTCCACGTGCTTGATATCCTTCTGGACAGGCCACAGCCAGAAATTGTCGAAGGTCCTGTCGGCGAGCAGCCTGTGCCATTGCAGCGAAGTTCCTTCGAGCGATCGCACGCACAAAACGGCCACCACGTCCACTTCCGTGATGTTCGCCGATTGGAAGCCGTGCGAAGCGAACGCTTTGTACGCCAGTATCTCGCCAGCGACGGTTAAGTTCACTGGATCACCGACGACAGCGTTGTCCGGATCGAATTCATAGAACGAAAGGAACGATCTCTCGGCGTGTATCAAGAAACCGACGCCGTTCGCATCCAAGTATTGCCGGGCGGCGCCGTTCTCGGGGAGCTTCGGGTCCTCGTGGACGGAAACGTCTTTCACCGACACTTCTGCGAGAAAAATGTACCCTTGACTTCGGTATCGAACAAGCGGCTGCTATCGTTTTTTAATTACCCTGTCTGTTCCCAGCGCCGGTATTGTACTCGTACTCGAACCAAATCGACGACGAGACGTCCTCGGAATCTCGCCGAACCTGCTGAGATTCGGTACCCAACAATTCGTGCAAGTTTTCTATCGTCTCGTCGAGATCGGAACACGTTGTCGCACCCGCGGAAAGGACGATCAGCAGCACGATCGAACGGCTGATAGTCGACGAGGACATTGTACATTTACAATGGAAACTGACGCGGAAAGTCGTGCCGTGACATTCTCGTGGCATTCTGACGAAGGGTTCCAAATATTTTCGAAGCGGGATTTCGCGCAGCGGTTCTCAAACCGCGTGCTGGAAAGTAGTAGTCGCGCGCAGGAAAACAAGTTTCCACGCGTTTTCTTTTTTCGGTTCCCTCTACCCCTCCTCTTTCGCGTACTTTCCTCGCTCGATTAATTATTAATTGGATGTTAATGACAAGTTTCGCGAACAACGTTCGTGCTGCTTGCACGCTTTCACACGGATGTAGGTCGGACAGTGTCAATTGGTCGTTTCCTTTTGCGGAAAACGATTTTATTTAACATTTTGTACAAAACAATTACAAACAACTGGTATAAATAACGTGTTACTATGAAACGGATTGCAGAGGTTCGCGACGGTATAATTTTCTTGGGAAACGTTTATTTCTGCGGTTCAAGTTTCGCCATTCGATCGATCGTACCGGTTCGATTATGCTTGCGAGAAATTGCTTCGATTCTGTGTTCGCAATATTTTAGCGAAAATTAAATATCCACGATCTGATTGCAATTCAACCCTTTGTACTCGAGTGGTGACGCCACTGAAATTTGTTATATCACGTTCTAAGATAATTTTTATATTAACAAAATTTATTTATATTATATTTAAAAAATTGTTAAGAGAGCGTAACTGTTGCATGATAAAATAAAAATAGTATAAGCCCGAAAAATTATTTTAGATTTACAGTTAAAATAGCTTCGAGTGCAAAGGGTTAATACGTTCAGTGCCGTTACAGTGCTGTTACGGGGTGACACTAATTTTTTACTAGGTTTTCGAAATTCATTTTTATTGTAATATATTGAACGAATTGAATGTTACTAAGATTCGTAAAATACAAAACAGCAGAACCAATATTTTCTACGGAAAATTTTCACTTCCTAGTTTCGGTTTCATTAATTATTTAATCAATTTAATTAATTGATATCGTGTATTTTTATTAACATCGATATTGCGATATTTCGTATTTTTCGAGTCGATATTCGGCACTCAACGTGTTAATACAAACTGTTTGGTAACGTGCGATCGAGTGTGAGTTCATAAATTCTTTTACAATCTGTAGTACGTTGAACCATCGTATATTAAAAATTCGTTAATGACAGGTGACATTCGATAGAAAGATAAAAATTTAGAGAGAAGATAAGAATATACGGATTGATCGCGCGTGTGTGTTCTATGTACATATTGTTAGAGCAAAGTTAATCGCTACTTCAATTCCACCGAATCGCGTACAACGATTACGTGCCTCGTACGTTGATCGATCCCCAATAAATTACACTATGGTGCGATAAATAAGATGCCCCTATAACGAACGTAACATCCCCTGTTCGACGCCGCTTACATACTAAATACGTGCTACGAATCACTACGAAGTGACGAAGTCGAAACTGGAATATACGATTACTCGATCTATCAACAATATTTTATTCAGCATCATTTGTTCACCATGCTGGTAACATACTTGTTAACCCCTTGCACAACGATTTCTTGAAAACTACACGAATTTACTCTATGCTAATATTTGCTTCAGTGTTTAAACATTGATAACAGAAGGGTATCAACAATATTTTATTCAGCATCATTTGTTAACCATGCTGGTAACATATTTGTTAACCCCTTGCACAACGATTTCTTGAAAACTATACGAATTTACTGTATGCTAATATTTGCTTCAGTGTTTAAACATTGATAACAGAAGGGTATCAACAATATTTTATTCAGCATCATTTGTTCACCATGCTGGTAACATACTTGTTAACCCCTTGCACAACGATTTCTTGAAAACTACACGAATTTACTCTATGCTAATATTTGCTTCAGTGTTTAAACATTGATAACAGAAGGGTAGCATTTTATTTCGATTTCGTTATTATGCAGGATGTCCTAAAAATGTCTCGCAATCTGGAAATGGAGATTCCTAAGATCATTTGAAGTAAATTTTTCCTTAGCGAAAATGCAATCCGCGGCTTCGTTTACGAGTTATCGACGAAAAACGGTGACCAATGAGAGATCGCGTACGACTGACGCACCGCCCTCGCGACCACTGTCGCTGCGTTAGACGACCGACGCGACGCGGCATTGGCCGCAAGGGCGGAGCGCCGGCCGCACTGGCTCTCCGATTGGTCCATGTTTTTCGTTAATATCTCGTAAACGAAGCCTCGGATCGCATTTTCGCTAAGGAAAAAGTTACTTGAAATGGTCTCAGGAATCTCCCTATTTCTGCGTTGCGGTACATTTTTGGGAAACCTTGTACGGCAAAGAATTAAATATTTAAAAGTACATAGAAATCATTCTTACCCGATGTTTGCAAGTTCTGGGCAGTTCCATCGTATATTTCGGTTTCGATTCGCTATGATCGTTCGTCAAGTTTTCAAGGTACGGTGACAGGTAAAAATCTCGTCCGGTCACCGACTTTAGGTTGGAACCTCAGGTTGACCTTCTCCTTCTCGTCCTCGCCGACCTCGAGGAACGTGTTCCAGTCGACCAAGAAATAGAGACCGCTTTTCCGTTTCGGCGGCAACGAGACGTCGGGCGCGCTGGTGGTCCCGCCGAACGACTCCTCCAGCGCCATCAAGTTCGACGATGACCCGGTGACCTCTGTGGTCGTCGCCGTGGCGACATCTTTCTGATCCGTAGCCGCGTTCTCCGAATCTGAGGTCGCTTCTACCGATTCTGTTGGCAAGTTTCATCAACGGACCTTTTGTTGAATCTCTGTCGACCACGAGGACACCGCGCCCCTCGACCGGGTGCGTGAACTCAGAGTTGAGAGATGACATGAGACAAGGTTGAAAGAATGGTTCGGAACGTGTCATGCATTCATGGGAACGATACCGTACAACACAGTGGCGAAAGAAGACACACACCGGTCGCAGACAAAATGCGAACAAAATGCGTTAATGGCTGCCACGCGGCTGTTAGTCACGGATAGAAAACCTGGGAAAAACCTCGCGCAGTGTCTAGTTCACATAATTAGCCGCGAATGCAAGAAGAGGAGAAAGTGACCCGTGCTGATATAAATCTTCCGTTGCCGATTTTCCTTTTAAGAGAAAAAGTGAACTCTGACTTTTTAACGAAAGCGAACATCCGCGCTGCGAAAGACGGACAAAAAAAGCCAGACGCGAAGAGGACACCGAGTTAATGAGAGAGACGCGTATTCCAGCGGTCTCAGGGTCACAAAACTGAGAGAAAAGTCAGAGAGAGAGAGAGAGAGTCGCGCGAGTACTTTCAGCATCCACGCCGACGAAGTACGAAGAAAACGATCCGGAAAGTTCGTGTCATTTTCCAAGACAATTTTACTCATTATTCCGTTGCTTGATCATTTGTTCGACCGTTATGCTTCAGCGACTTCTTCAAGGCTATTATAGATATTATTGTTGGACATTGTTTCAATTATACTAGAATTATCAGGGAGCCTGTCAACAGCCAGGCCTGACCAGCGATCCGCGTCGAAACGCGCCACGAACTTCCCGAATATCGACGAGGACATGATTATCTCGATCACGAATGATCGAGCCTCGGATCCCCCGAGAACTGTAAACCAGATTCCTGTGATCCCAAAGGGCAGCGTACATTCAACCGGATCCACGCTTGAACTTGTTATACATGTTCGTTAGTAGAGCCCGAAATCTCGTTAGTCCCTGAATGATTTTCTTAATCCAGAACTCCGATCCTCCCAAAAGGTATATCAGAAATTTCTTAATACCGGTCGCATTACTCGAAGACGGCGTGCTGGTTCGCTCCGTGGTCCCGGCGGTGGTCGTTTCCGTCTCCTGTTGCCTCTTTATCTCGTTCCTGACGTCCTCGTGGTAAGTCTTGATGATCTCCTCCAGCTTCAAAGGATCGGGGCCGTCCTTCAGGGTCCTCGTAGCTTCCAGCAGATCGTTGGCTACCTTCTTCACGTTCTGGATGTCGGCCTTGCCCTCCTGGACCATCTTCACCGTGTCCAGGAGCTCGTTGATCTTGACCCTTTGCCTCTCGTCGCCGACCTTCGTTTCGTGCGGTTTGAACACGTGATACGTGGACGTTGCCGTGGACTCCATGTCACGGACCGCCTTCGGCGTGTTCTTCGCAGGTCTGGCAGTGGTGAATATCAGCCCCATGTTCTCGAGAACGGTCCTCATGCTGCCGGGGACAGCTTCGATCACCGAGGGAGCCTCGGTCGTTCCTCTCATCGACTTCGATTTCCTGCCGTCGCCCAGCCCGAACCTCGCCAAGAACTCCTTCATCTCTTGGTCCTTGACTTTCGACGTGGGCAGAGGCTTGAAATTCGTGTAGTCATTGAAGTTGATGGTCGTCCGTTCCGTGGACGTGGTCGACTGGTCGAGCTTCGACGTCTGCAGACCGAATCGCTGGAACAACAGCTGCACGTCCGGCGTCAGATTCTCCACGCCTTTCCTGATCTCGGACCCCAGCCCGTTGAACGTGTTCTGATCGAGGATGGACGCGGGATCGGGACCGGTGGAAGACAAACTGGACACCGGATTGTACTGTAATCCGTTCGTGTCGGCTATCTGCAACTTGTTCTCGATGATCTCCTTGTTCTTCTTGTAGACGTCCTCCACGTTGCTACGGTTGTCCGGCCTGAGGCCAATGGAAGCCAACAGGTCCATGACCTCCGGTCTCATCGGCATCGTCGTCGTGCCGGTCGGCGTGACCGCTCGGAAGCCTGCCGAGTTGATCGAGTAGGTCGAGCTGTACTTCGCTTTCGAGGTCGCGCCCGTCGGCACGGCCGTGACGTACAGAGCTGTCGGCCTCTCGGTGGTCGTGACGAATGCCTCGGCCACCTTGGGATCCGTAGACATTGCTTCCGCTGGCAGAAGAGGAAGACCCAGTTCTGGGTCTTCGAGGTCTGTGTTAATAGTCGGCAGGAACGGGACCTTATCGAACTTGGACGGCATGGTTGGCTTCAGGGTACTACTCGGCGGCGCGTTGTACTGCCATTGGTTCGACGATAGGACGTTGTGGCTGGTCTTGGAAGTCCCGTGATCGATCGTGACACCTCGGGTGCCTGATTTCGTGGTGGGCAGCTCGGTGATGCTGGTGCTGTAGACGATCTCTAGGCCCGCGTTCTTGTTCCCGTTACTCTTGTAAACCGGATACCTGGCCGCCGTTGTCCTCTCGGTCGACAACGCGTTCTTCTGAAGGTTCTCGAGGTTGAAGGTGAACCTGACCGGCGCGGAATCTAGCCGCAGCGTTTCCTTTAATGGCACCTTCGTGTGCACTTCCGAGTACGTCTCCCGGTGGTTCTTGTACTGATTCTTCAGGGACTGTTGATCGCTCGGTTTGTACGTGACCTGATTGGACACCAGGTTCTCGTCTGCGGAAGGGAGCGAAAGATCGATGATGGTCTCCTTCCTGTCTTCGTTGTCTTCGGCGTTGTCCTTTGGCTGATCCGGCGGTATTTGCGTCTTCGAAGGTTGCTCGATTTTACGCTCTTCCTCCCATTTTAGAGAGAACGTTTTGGGGACTTCTTCGACTTTGGCTTGGTCATTGGGTGACTTTAACGAGTCCGGAATCATTTGTACTATCGGCGGCTTCGTGTACAGGTCGTTCAGGTTTCCAGTGGAGTCAGCACCACTGTACGGCAGGACGACCATTAGTGCTCTTTGATACAGTTTCCTAGCCTTCTCGATCTTCTCTTGGTCTCTCAAGCTATTCAAATCCTGCGACGTGATGTTATGAAGGTATCTCACTATCTCCGGCCGCGTCAGTCTGGGCAGGCTCGGGTCTGCTCGAAGCTGGCGTTCAACCTCCTCGATCGTACGGTTGATCGAGCTCTCGATATCCATTTCCGACGGGAGATCATTGTCCTGGCCGTGACCCAGCCCGAGGACGAGCAGCAGGAAGAAAACCGCAAGCTGCGCAGACAATCGTTTCATTCAGATTGAGGACAGTCGGGACTGACATTCCAGCCAACAGCAATCCGCGTAATTGAATCTCGCGTTGAATGTAATCTGTTGAATGTAATCGATCCTTGCGAACGTTATTATCGACTTCTATTGGGTTGGCAAGAATGTCATTTCGGTTTGCACAAATAGATAGCTTTGCATTGTTATTCTTTTGTTAAGGTTGTAATCTTTTTGTTTTCTGATTTGGTAGTTGACACGTTTGGGTTACTATAGAAACAAATACGAAACACTGCGTTTCGCAGTGCTCAAAAGAACTTTTGGACTATCATGTTCTTAGAATATAACATGGAAGAATTTTTATTGTTACTCTTGTGTTTCTAGATACCGATCGATGTTTGCTTCCTTACTGATCGCGTTGCAAGACACATTTTTCGACAATCTGAGTTTATATTGCGTTGGCAATGAAGTCATTTCGGTTTGCATCAATAGCTAGCTTTATGTTTGCATTGTTAATCTTTTTGGTTAAGGTTGTAATCTTTTTCTCTTCAGAATTGGTAGTTGACACGTTTAGGTTACTATAGACACAAATACCGTGTAGTTTCGTTTACAACTGATAGTTTGCTGTCAATTTTAACACGGAGTGCAAAAATGAACATTTTCGACATATTTTACTTTTTTATTTTCATAAAGGCAAGAAAGCGGCCGAGGCTCGCAAAGAGATACGCGATGTTTATGGCGTTGATTGCTTAACAGAACGCACGTGTCAGAATTGATTCAAAAAATTTCGTTCCGAAGATTTTTCACTTAAAGATGACCAACGTTCTGGTCGATCTTCCGAAGTTGACGATGACAAAATCAAAGCCATAATTGAATCGAATCGTCGTATAACTGTACGAGAGATTGCAGAAAGGTTAAATGCATCGCGCACAACAATCGAATATCACATAAGATGTCTTGGACTTGTTAAGAAGCTCGATGTTTGGATTCCGCGTGAATCGAAAGAAATGCACTTAACACAACGAATCGGTATTTGCGATACGCATTTTAAACGTAGTGCAATCGACCCTTTTTTGAAAGGAATTATCCCTGGTGATGAAAAATGGATCGTTTCCAATAACATTAATCGTAAAAGGTCATGGTCCAAGCGTGATGAACCAGCACAAACCATATCGAAAGCCGAATTGCATCGGAAAAAGATCACGCTGTCAATTTGGTGGGACTAAAAAGGTGTTGCGTATTTTGAGCTGCTTCCAAGCAACCAAACGATCAACTCGGATGTTTACTGCCGACAACTTATGAAATTGGAGGAAGCGATCAAAGTGAAAAGGCCAGAATTGGCAAATCGCAAAGGACTCGTGTTCCACGTCAATGCGAGGCCTCATACATCTTTAGCAACACGTACAAAATTATTGGAGCTGAATTGAGAAGTGATGTCGCATCCTCTATATAGCCCCGGCCTTGCACCAACGGATTATCATTTATTTCGAAGTTTACAAAACTTTCTAAATGGTAAAAGTTTCAATAACAACGATAGCCTCGAATCGCACTTGATCGAGTTATTTACTGATAAAGACCAGAAGTTTTACGAGCGCGGAATCATGAAGTTACCAAAAACATGGCAAAAGGTCATCGAACAGAATGACAAATATTCGACTGATTAAAGTTCATTTCTTATATAAAAAAAAAATTGAGTTTTACTTCACATTGAAATACCGAAATTATTTTCTTGCCAACCCAATAGTTCTTCCGAGCAATTCCGTTACATCGTCACGGCAAATCTGGGTGTTTCGCGGAGGTCAGAGTTCGATTCCCGCAAAAATACCCCAAATGTATTATACCCATAGTAAGTAAACCCATAAAGCGCGGTGTCGAAAATTCCGTGAAAGTGAGGAACGCGTCACAGTCGTAATCTTTTCGGTCGTTGTCTAAACTCTAACGGGACCTGCCGCGGCCTACAAACACCTTCGTCGATTTTCACGCGTTCATATCCGATGACCACACAGATCCGACCCACATTCGCTCGAATTTGCGTCATCCGTGTGTGTTTTACCCATCGCCGTTCGGTTGAAAAAGAAAATCGCGTCTCGGACACGCCAAGGCTGTCCGATGATTGCAGATCGCGTACGATCTTTCATAATGTTTCAATTTGCCTGTCTGCTGCTCTCTCGCGGCTTATCGATCGGAAACGAGAAAACGAGGCAACTTATCGTACGAAGAATCGTTTCATCAAGGACCAACGGATTTAGGACAGGCCTGTTGCAAGATGCATGGTAATTATCGCTTAAAAACTCGAGAAACGATCTAAGCTCCTTCATATTCATTAAGCGGATCCTGTATTTCAGCCTTGACAGCAATGACCGATCGAGAAAGTCCAACTTGTTGATCTATGTACCCGGTGTACCCTCGTCTCGTAATTAAACATTCCAGCAATCCTCGCCCTGCGCTTCGAAACGAACGCGTTGCTTCGTTCGCATCAACATTGCCACGTTTCTTCCGTGAAAAACTGACCGAATTCCTGCTTTTCATTCGTGAAACTCGCGATCTATGTATTGGGTTGGCAACTAAGTAATTGCCGATTTCAGTTATAGATGTCTCTCACTCCCATTTTTATGATATCCGTAAATGTTATATTATGAAATTATTGTTATTATTATTATGTTATTTTTTATTATCCGTGAAAGTTAGCAACTGGACAAATTGAATGCCGCGGTCAAGGAAAAGCGACCAGAATTGGTCGATCGTAAAGGTGTCATTTTCCAGCAGGACAATGCTAGGCCGCACACTAGGCCGCAAAAATTGATGGACATTGGTTGGGAATTGATGTTACACCCACCGTATAGCCCTGATCTCGCGCCATTGGATTACCACTTATTTCGATCCCTGGACAACTCCCTTCGTGGTAAAACTTTTAACGATGATGACGCTGTAAAATCTCACTTAACTCAGTTTTTGGCCGAAAAGGATCAGACTTTCTACGAGCGTGGAATTTTCAAGTTGTCAGAGAGATGGCGAAAGGTCATCGAACAAAGTGGAAAATATATTACAGATTAAACTTCATTCCAAGTAAAAAAATTTTTTATTTCATTGAACAAATCGGCAATTACTTAGTTGCCAACCCAATAGATCAACAGTTTACCGGTCTTTTAGTATAACTCAGTTGGACGTTTGGCTATGTTGTTTTGATTCACTATTGATCTGTGTACCCGGTGTACCCTCGTCTCGTAATTAAACATTCCAGCAATCCTCGCCCTGCACTTCGAATCGAACACGTTGCTTCGTTCGAATCAACATTACCACGTTTCTTCCGTGAAAAACTGACCGAATTCCTGCTTTTCATTCGTGAAACTCGCGATCTACAGGGTGTCTCAAAAATGTCTCGCAATCCGAAAGTGGCGGGTTCCTCAGGTCATTTGAAGCAACTTTTTCCTTTAGAAAAATTTTCCCTGATGCATCGTTAACGAGTTCTTAACGAAAAACAGTGACCAATGAGAGGCGAGCTCGGCTGGCGCGAGGCGACCGAGCCAATGAGCGGAACTGGGCTTCGCGCGCTGGTCGACTGGGCCGCCTCGCGTCGGCCGTACTATTGGTCACTGTTTTTCGTTAATAACTCGTTAACGGTGCCTCGGAGAAGATTTTTGTAAAGGAAGAAGTTGCTTCAAACGATCCGAGGAACCCGCCATTTCCGGATTGCGAGACATTTTTGATACACCCTGTATGTAGAGCAACAGTTTACCGGTCTTTTAGTATAACTCAGTTGGACGTTTCACTATAATTCGATGTCTCGGATTACAGGAGCATGCTACCATCAATTTCCAGTCGCTTAAAAGCATAACACGAAACTGAATCGCGTGACGCGCTAACTGCGATTTCCCGTCGGTTCCGTTGCCGTCCGTGAACCAGCGATTAGAAGGAAATTACTGCAACACAGCGGCGGCATTTTGTAACGTATGTTCCACCGTTCACGGAGCTGTTAGGTGAACCGTGCTGATTCGGCTATCGATCCACCGATTAAGCAATCAATTCTAGAACGCGAATTACGTAATCCACCGAGCGCTATTCGGTAATCCTTCCGGGATACGCCAGAACCGTCGTCGGACTTTCTATTCAATTTGGCGAGGATTTGTGCTCGGGCTTCTTGAAATTGCCACCATTTTCCGGCTCGGTTGAAACGGGATTGGGAAGAGCGGTCGCGGCGGTGTCCCAGGCTGCCGAACAGTCTTACGCGTATCTTCGCGACTGATTTCACTCGGTCGGGTGAAAACAGGAACACCGTTTTATATTCGAATTTGATGGGTTTCCCGATCGTTGCGCCGTTACATTTAACGTCCGCGTGCACCGGACACGGTGAACGATCCACGATAACGATCCTCGAAAACGAAAGTCACTTTCGGCCTCGGCGACGTGACCCTTTTCACGCGGCCGGGCCGAGACAACGCGCGGTTCCCGTGCCACTTTTGCGACCGGTTGATCGAAAAATTTGCTCCCCGATCCGCGAGTTTCGCCCGGAGACGCGCTAACCAGAGTTTCTCGGATTCGAAACGATCTTCTCGCGAGAACAGAATTTTCGAGCCTCGTTATCTCTTTTGTCGTAAATGGTCAATTTTGCTAGCAGGCAGAAGCGAATTAAATGCATCTGTTTATTCAATTCGAGCATTGGATGCGAACGTGGAAAACGAAAGCTCAACGTGTTCAAATAAAAATATAAAACAGTAGAAAGTGGAATTAGATTAAATAAAACGATCTTTTCGCGAGAGCAGAACTTCAGAGCCTTGATATCTTTCTTGTCGTAAATGGTCACTTTTGCTAGCAGACAGAAGCGAATCGAAAGCATCTGTTTATTCAATTTGAGCATTGGATGCGAACATATAAAACGAAAGCTCGACGTGTTTAAATAAAAATATAAAACAGTAGAAAGTAGAATTAGATTAAATAAAACGATCTTTTCGCGAGAGCAGAACTTCGGAGCCTTGATATCTTTCTTGTCGTAAATGGTCAATTTTGCTAGCAGACAGAAGCAAATTAAATGCATTTGTTTATTCAATTCGAGTATTGGATGCGAACGTGAGAAACGAAAACTCAACGTGTTTAAATAAAGATATAAAACGATAGAAAGTAGAATTAGACGAAATAAAATCGAATGCTAATAGATAACATAGTATTGTTAAATTATTCGAGTGTTACCTAGAAAAACGTTAGAGACAGAAATAAAAATTGATTCTCAATGTCTGTAAAAAATAAGATAATAACAGATAAAAGGAAATATTTTGTTTTATATATAAAAGACAATTTACGACGAGCTTAATATATTCATTTATTTTTAGAATTTGCAGTTCTCTGTGATCGTGTATAATGTAATAAAATAACTTATAATTATTATCAGCATTGGATGCGAACGTGGAAAACGAAAGCTCAACGTGTTCAAATAGAAATATAAAACAATAGAATGTAAAATTAGACGAAATAAAATCGAATACTAATAGATAACATAGAATTGTTAAATTATGTGAGTGTTACGTAAACACTCGTATAAAAATTGATTTTCAACGTCTGTAAAAAATGAGATAATAACAGATAAAAGAAAACATTTTGTTTTATATACAAAAGACAATTTACGATAAAATCTTAACCCTTTGCACTCGAGTGGTGACTCCGAGGCACCGCTAAAATTTGTTATCTCTCTCTCTATATATATATCACCTTTTAAGATAATTCTGATATTAACAAAGTTTAGATTTAAAAAATTGTTAAGAGTGTAACTGTTGTGCGAATCCCAAGGGTCAATTTCATATGCATAAAATGCACTTTGTCATATAAAGTAGAAATAGTATGATATAAAATGATCTTATATTTTCAGTTAAATTAGCTTCGACTGCGAAGGGTTAATAACAGATAAAACAAAATATTTCGCTTTATATAAAAGACAATCTACAACGAGCCTAATACATTCATCTATTCTTAGAATGTCCAATTTTCTGTGATCGCGTACAATGCAATAAAGTAACCTACGATCGTTATCATTATCGCGACAACAATTCAGTGAAAATCTATCGAGCAAAGACTAAACCGAATCAATCTACTATCAGCAAACGATTCGCTGAACAACGCAGGGAAATACGAACGTTTAATTGAACATCTACAAACTTACCGATCCAACAGGCATTTAGAAAGCACAGTTTCAAAAAATAACTATACGAAAGGCTATACTTTATAGCAACCACTATACTATACGTTCTCTACCATCGCACAGTTTCACCAATTATCAATCACCCGGTAGCAATGCCGTTTTTCCAGTTCGTGGCCGCGAAAACTGACAATGCAGTCGAGTGCAACCCCTCGGGTACAAATTGCGGTCTGAATATCCGAACACTGACATTCCAGCGATTTCTTTTTTTTCCACCGCGTGACCACGAGGACGGGCTGACAAGCGCGGCGAAAAATGTGGCGCAGCACCGCCGACAGGTAGCAAGGCAGTTCTCCTATTCGTTCGCGCGAACAAGTTCACTTTGCCGAAAGGTTCACAGAAGACAGTTTGAAAAACGATTTCGGTTCGATCGAAACGCGTTACGGCCGAAACGACGACGCCCGTCGGAACTTACCATTACGGCAACCAATCGTCTGGGGACGCAGTTGACTACTGACTGAACGACTAAGGCCTACTTTCGAACTCTCTCTCTATCTTACCCGCTTATTTCACCTCGACTGTCCTCGTGCACGCGACTCGGTTCATCTGTCTCTGCTTCCTCGGGTGCCGGGGTCGACGGCGGGGTGTCCTTTCTCTGGTCCCCGGTTTTCGGCGCGTTCGACAGCATCCGGGGCCGTTGCGAGACCGACCCGCCCGCTTTCTTCGCCTCGGCGATGCGAAATGGAAAGCCTGGACGGATCCTTCAAGTTCAAGGAGAAAGAAAGTAGCCGCGCGGGCCCGGTTTTTGGGGGACGTTTACGATTTTTTGGAACGCGCCTTGAGTTCGCGCGCTGCGTTGTTTAGACCGTTGCGGGGTCAAAAAACGATGTGAACAAATTGTGCAGGGCTTTGGAGGTACAAATTCGATAGAAAGATTAATAAGAAGGCGAAACTGACGAGGAATAAATGGTACGAATAAATAGCAGAATTTATGATAACGATTCTAATTTTGAGAATATATATGCTCCCAGAGTGTTATAAAAGTTTAATTACTTGCTGAGAGTGAGCTGGAAAGGTTGTAAAATGGAAACATTGAACATGGTGATTCACATGTTTAGAAGTTTGAAATTGAGATCTGCTTTGCCGATCAACGAATCCAAGCTGTTTTATCGTCGGCAGATAAAGCTTCGGTCGGTAACGTTACCATCGGCTTTACCATATGAGAGCACTGCCGCAGACTTAGGACACGATGCTTTCTTTCTGTCGCACGGTCTGAATTACCGAACGCTGTGGCATGATAGCAGATTGAAAGGATAACAGTGTAAATGGAGCTCGAGGCTCCTGGCGCTTTAAATAAAGCAAACCTGAACCTGAACCTGAAACTGGTACGATAACGGATTTTACCTAAATGGAACAATCAGATAATGAGCTATATCTAACTGCACTGGGAAAAGTGTGTCTGAGGTGGCTAAATTCACGGCGTTGCCGGCTTTTAAAAGTACATTGTTGCCGCGTTAGATTCTTTATGAAAGAAAATTATCGAAACAGATTCTAAGCTGCAACATTTTTTATTTGACATGCTTATCTGAAACAATTATGTGGCTATTCGCTGACTTGTTTGAAAATTCATTCAAAATTTTTAAAAAGTTTGTTAATATTGAAGCACTTATTGTAAATCGATTGAAATAAAATAGCTTTCGGTATTAACACTTTCGTTGTTCCACCCTAACTTAATGAAGTCAAGGTCACCTGAAGGTCATTGTATAGTAGGTCGTTGTGTTTATATTTTCATTAGCAATAACACTACCAAGTCAAAAATACAGGGGGCTATTTAAAAAAGTCAAGGAATCCTTGATTTTTAGTCGAGAAACAATAGTTTTTGAAATTTGTTATATTTCAACACGTAGTCGAATAAATACTGTTTAACTTTCGTTCGAAACATTTTTTTATCAGACTGTCAAAGGTGCTTAAAAAATCATGGCGACAGTTATGTGCCACACCCGGTATATGCCGTCTGATTATTTAAATATATTACTCCAAAGGATCTATAGAACATGAGTATGGCTTTAAATATTAAAAATCCAGAAATAATAAATTTATTAATGAAAGGAGTTATGTCAAGGTTATTTGTAGATTAAAATAGGCTCTTAATCTGAAAAAAGGAAAGCAGGGCTGACCTTTTTTTTATGAGTCATGAACGTGCAAAATTCTTATCGTTGTATTTTTCGCACCGATTCGAGGTCGCCCGCTACCCTAATTACCTCGGTGCGGGTACAATTAGTCACGCGGTTTCGAAAACAAAGTACTCGGTAATTTTTAGTATAATTGCCTTTCTTAACAATTTCGTACCAGCAAATAATACCGTCTGTATTAAAATGAGATGTTTATTGTACATAACTTATTATAAGAAGTTATGTAAATGTGAGGATATTTGGTAACATTATTTATAAACTGTAAATATTTAAAACCATACTCATGTTCTATAGATCATTTGTACTAATATATTTAAATAGACAGGCGACATATACATATGTATGAAAATATACATATGTATTAATTACTATTACTATATATACTTAATTACTATATATTACTTAATATTATTATATATGTATGAACATATACATATGTATTAAAAAATACGTGAATTAATAATTCCAAAACTTTTAACAATTTAATATGTATAAAGAATTAAAAATCGATTTTTTGAACGAGTCAACGAATAATCACATAATTGCTCAACAAAAGTATGTCAAATTAAAAATGTTGCAGCTTAGAGTCCGTCAAGCAGCGAAGAAACCGCTTGGAAACCGTTTCGGTTGGAGGCATCGACAGTTTTCCTAGGGATATAACGCAGCACCAATGTACTTTTAAAAGCTGGCAACGCTGTAAATTTATCCGCTTCAGACATACACTTTTTTCTGTTGCCGTCAGACGTAGTTCACTAGCTGACCGTTCCATTTGGGTAGAGTTCGCTATTGTGCCGCAGCATTTTCTACAGAGTCGGTAATTCAGAGCCTGAAACAATAAAAAGCATTGCATGCAATACGTCTGTACGGATCCTAAGTTCGTGTTCAGGTTTCTTTTATTTGAAGCGCCAGAAGCATCCTGCTCTTTTTACACTGTTATCCTTTCACTTTATAATTTCTCTTACGATCTCAACACTTCAGTTTTCTCCCTGTACACAATTACAGTCTTACAATTTTTATATACTGTTATTATATTTATTATTATACATTATTTATATTATTATATACTGTATTTTTATACACCGTCTTATACACTGTTTGAATACTGTTCGTCCTAAACTATCCCATAAAAATAAAAAATGAAAATACAAAATATATCATTTTTCCCCTAACCTTAAAAAATAATATATATATGTATATACACGTGACACAAACTATAGACTGTCTCGCAACCATTCTATTACAATCTTCGCATCCCAAGCCCGTGTCCTAAGCCTGTGGTACCGCCAACTCGGTCGGTCAAAGTAACATCGACAATTTCTCATCGCATTTATGAATTAATTTTTCTTAAATTATTAAACGCTTTTGCCAATAAAAATAAAATAATAATAAAAGCTTTTTTACAATATTTTACAATCTGAACATTAAATATATATCTGAAATTTAACACTGAACCATTAAACGTCGAGAAAACAATTCTCTCTCCCGTCTTTCTGCCTCCGAAAATGTTCACTCCACGATCGCCACGAATTTTCAAAATCAGTCCAAAAAACGATCTGACTCGCGAAGAGTGGGGCTCGAATGGAAACGCGATAACGTCGCGGCAGCCTCGCGATTGGTTCCGTCCTCCAAACAGAGCCGCGAAAAAAAATCCGTCCGCCGTGGAAAACAGAAGGTATCGCAGGTACGCGCCGCGCTTTATCGTGATAATATTGATTTTTCCACCGATCCGTTACAACATACCGATCCGGCGGCGGTAAAAGTGGGGACTCACTCTCACTGTTCGCGCCGGCTAAGGTGGCTTCGGCTGTCCCGTCGTTTTTAAAACGCTGAACACCGCGGCTCCGTTTCTCCCCGTTTGCGAGGCTTGTCGGACCAGCGGCCGATATCGCTGCCGGAAAGGAAAAAGGGTTTCACCTCGGGACGAGTCTGAAGGGCTCCAAGTGCGACCACGATGACGGCCCAGATCGAGACCGTAGGGAACACCTTCAGGAATCTTAGCTGCGACGAGGATTACGTGCCTTCCGCGATCGAACACATAGAAAGTAAGTTACTTGGCTTTTTACTTTCACCCGAGCCGATCGCTATAAACGCGAGTTCTCTTTCATCCTGAATCGATCATGCCGAAAACTCGTCGAAACATTCTCCTATCGAATCCGATTACGGTAGTGTCGCTCTAATTGACGCTGAGATTGTGCAGAAAAATGGACAATTTGGGAAGAGGAGCCTCGCGGATTCGAGCCTCGCGACTCGTCTTTATAGTCGCCGATTGTCAATCATTGTAAAACGGAGCTGCAAGGCTCGAATAATCGTTTCTCCTGTTCCCAAATTGTCCACTTTTCTTGCACGATCTCAGCGTCAGTTAAGGAGGCTTTACTGTACACTAATTGCTCCCTAATTCGCGCTCAGGTTGCGCACAGACATGGACAATTTTGGAAGAGAAGAGACGATTATTTGAGCCTCGCGGCTCATTTTTATAGTTGTCGATTGTCAATAATTGTAAAACGGAGCTGCAAGGCTCGAATAATCGTTTCTCCTGTTCCCAAATTGTCCATTTTTCTGCACGATCTCAGCGTCAATTAGGGAGACTTTACTGTACACTAATATCTCCCTAATTCGCGCTCAATTTGCGCATAGAAATAGACAATTTTGGAATAGGAGCCTCGCGACTCGTTTTTATAGTTGCCGATTGTCAATCATTGTAAAACGGAGCTGCAAGGCTCGAATAATCGTTTCTCCTGTTCCCAAATTGTCCATTTTTCTGCACGATCTCAGCGTCAATTAGGGAGACTTTACTGTATACTAATATCTCCCTAATTCGCGCTCAATTTGCGCACAAAAATGGACAATTTTGGAAGAGGAGCCTCACGACTCGTTTTTATAGTTACCGATTTTCAACAATTATAAAAACGAGGCGCGAATAATCGCATCTCCTCTTCCCAAATCGTCCATTTTTTGCACAATCAATGCGTCAGTTAAGGAGACTTTACTATACACCAATTTCTCCCTAATTCGCGCTCCATTTGCGCACAAACATTGACAATTTGGGAAGAGGAGCCTCGCGAATTCGAGCCTCGCGACTCGTTTTTATAGTTACCAATTGTCAATAATTATAAAAACGAAGCGCAAATCTCAAATAATCGCCTCTCATCTTCCCAAATCGTCCATTTTTTGCACAATCTCAGCGCCAATTAGGGAGACATTACTGTACAATCCTCCGCCTGCGTACATCTCTCCATCGTGCTCGAGTTTCAATCGTCGTCCAAGCATTGTCCAATTACGAAATATCTCATAAAATCGCGGTCCAGTCGAGGTCCATCGTTTACACAGCTGTACCACTTTTACAAAACATAACTGTACATTTACCGGGCCTCTGGCTACGTTTTCGGCGCCGGGGAAAGGCGCGCGAAACACGCGGATCGATTATACAATGTATCTCCATCGACGCCGTAAGACGGTCGAATTGCACGGAAAAAACGTGTAACGATTACGTAGAAGCGTCGTAGTGTCTAGAAAGCGAGGCAGCGAGCATTGTGGAGACCGCCGTTCAGCGGGTACCGTTTCGCGAATCGCGCGAGCATCGGTGGACGCTGTCTAAAACGGCGACGCCGGCGAAACGCGGCGGATCGTCGTCGCGGAAAATGTTGGAGAAAACAATGGAAACATATCCTGCAGGGTGGTCGATTATCCAATCACTGATAGCCTGGCACCGTGCGATCTTTCTGTCAATGATAGCTTCGCGTGCTCCGATCCACGGAGCATGCGCAGAACGCGCGCAGCTCGGTGAAAGTCCCAGCCCGTGGCTCGCGCGTGTGCTCGACGCGAAACGCGTTGGCTTCCTCGAAAGAGGATAATTGCGCAACCTGGAAGTAAAATCGTCGCGTTTCGAATATTGTTCCGGGTCGGGGGAATTTCGGAAAGCCGTCGAGAAATTGTCAACCCGCGGGGTTAAATTCGAGCCTCGTGATCGCGCGGTGATTGGAGATCAAAATTTGACGCGGCCTCATTTTTCGCCGGTTACCAATTTAAACCCTCGAAACCGGCCGTTCCGTATTTGCATGAAGGATAGGAGATGACACCGTCGGGTGCTTTCACCCGGAATGAAAATAAAACCGCCGCCGCCGTCGCCGTCGCGGAATAAATGAATACGACGGGGCGGCGTCGACTGATTTAAATTGCCGAATTAAAATGCTCCTCCTTTTTTGCGCCGCGGCCGATATTTTTGCAACAGTGTATATATGCATAACCGTCCCCCGATCGTCGCGGCGACCGAATCAATTCGCGGCAATGAATTTTTAACGAGGGTAAATTTTGTCCTCGGGGAAAGTTGGACAAGGCAATCTTCTTTCGCAAAGCGAACGAACCGCGCGCCGCGGTTAAATGCAACTGCGCCCGCCGCGCCGACGAGAATGCATTGAATAACTTATCGGACGGGGCTTTTTGTTGCGCCTTTTCCGACGCCGTCGTGCGGCAGATGTCCGCGGCTGAACGAAATTCCTCGGTTGATGATTCCACGGTTCAACAAAGTTGACATTGTCGCCGGATCCATCCAGCGACGTTCCTTGCCGATTTGAATTCTGACGGCGCGCCGGCGACGCAAGGATGAAGATTGGCTGGAACGAGATGCAGATTGCCAAATTATCGTCGGACGGTGTAATGTTTATTCATACGTGAGATTCGTATTTGTTATACATGTATGCTGGAAATCGTTGTATGTGGACAGCAATCAAGCGTGGCTCGCGGCACGCTGTGACAATCCACGCGTATACAGGGTGCTCCACAATTATTTTAACAGCCCAAAATGAGGGGTAGCTGAGGTCATTCTAAGCAACTTTTTCCTTTGCGAAAATGCAATCCGCGGCTTTGTTTACGAGTTATTCACGAAAAACGCTGACCAATGAGAGGCGAGGGCGCGAAGTTCGAGAGCACCATAAGAAGAAAACCATATATTGTGAGTTCTCTGTAATTGACGCTCAGATTGTGCACAAAAATGGACGATTTGGGAAGAGGAGATACGATCGTTCGAGCCCCGAGGCTCGTTTCTATAATCGTCGATTGTTAACAACTATAAAAACGAGCCGCGAAACCCGAATACAGCAACTTCTCTCCAATTGTCCCTCAACTTGTAAACAAAAATTGACAATTTGGAAAGAGCAGATACGATAATTCGAGTCATCCACCTCGTTTTTATAATTGTTGACAATCGGCGACTATAAAAACGATCCCCGCCAAGGCTCGAATAATCGTATCTCCTGTTCCCAAATTGTCCATTTTTGTGCGCAATATAAGCGTCAATTCAGGAGAATTTACTGTATGTGTATTATTAGGTTGGCGCGTATGAAATGTCGGATTTTTAAGTGAACATATAAAACTGCGTATCTTTTTTCAAAAGCTGTTTATTTAATCAAAATATACTCCATTCGCTTCGATACACTTTTCCCAACGAGATTTTAACGCATAGATGCCTGTCTTAACCCGAGAAAGATAACCTACGTCGCAGAGGCGCCTGCGAAGACTGTTGATTTTTGTTAATTTTTCATAGAGGTCTAGTGATTTAAGTTTAAAATTACTTAAAATATAAAAAAATATAATATAAATGCATTTTATTTTTACAATAATGCCAAACCTTTAAAATGACTAGATTAACTTAAATAAATATCCATTGTTAGTATAAAATTGACGCCTTAGAAAAGCATGCGCCTCTGAAGCGTATGGTTATCTTTTATCATATGGTTATCTTTCTAGGGTTAAAGAAATTCTGATCTTTAGAATCGATAAACTCTGATATGGAATTTTTCAGGCTGTCTTCATTTTCATACCGTTTAGCCAGTAAAAACTGTTCTAAATGTTTAAACAAATGAAAGTCGGTTGGCGAAAGATCCGGCGAATAAGCTGGCTGCTGCACAATTTCATATTTTAATTCATTTAATTTCGCAATTGTTTTGTACGGCGTATGCGGCCGAGCTTTGTCGCGGAGAAGTATTTGGCCACGCCGATTAACAAGCGATGGGCGTATAATTTTCAATTTTTCGTGCGTTTCATCGATGTACCGACAGTACATTTCGGCTGTAATTGTCTCCTCAGTTCGAAGGAACGAGTAGCGAATTACTCCGGTCACATTCGTTTCCACCGATGCTTTCGGAGCATCATTTTTCACAGA